CTTTGGCCAGCTCACTATACAGCAGGGTATCTGAAGACTGGCAGGGCGTACGTGTTGATGGCGTGGATCTTGTTCTTCCTACTGGGGTAGCTCTTCAGGACCTCTCTTTTCCTTTGGTGGTACTTGGACGTTGCTGTCTTCCTTGCTTCCTCATCGTGGTTCCTGTGTGACTGTGGGACACCAAGGTACTTGTAGCTGATCTGCATAGCAGATGCACACACACACACACGTATTTAGGGTGGAGGGGAACAATAGGACCTGGACATATATAGGCAAAAAGTTACAAGTCGTCCCGGGGTTACAAGCTAGGGTTACCAGCGGTGATTGGATCTGTAAATGCTCTAAGATGAATTGAGGGCTGAAAAGGAATGTTTGAAGTACGTTGTCATCGTCGAAGTTTATAGCATAATAAATGGTACAGTACAGAAGGAGGGAGGAGACGGTTCTGGTTTGGTGCTAAAAGTTGGAGTCATCTGACAAACCTGGTCGGTAGGAAAGGCAGGGGAAACCCAGGGCCCCTTCGCTTGTGGCATAATTCTAAGGCGTTGAGCCTTTCCTAGATCAAGATGTGGGTGGCCAGATCTGGGGCTGGTTGCCAGCCCCGCTTTCTGGAAACCAGCCGCTTGTGAAACATGATAAATTGCAGATCTGGGTTTCTTCTGTCTTCCGTTCCCTGCTTTGCGTTGTCCACCAGGAATGCCAGTTCTCTAAACATTCCCTTTATAAACATCCCGGGGTGAGGAGGCAAACAGCCCACGTGAAGGTTTTGTGGGTGTTTTCTGTTTCCACTCCTTTCCTGCAGCGAGGAGAAATATCTTTCGCTCTGCTTTCACCTGCTGCTGCTTCGAGAAGATGCTGTCCACTTTCGGTTGTGGAGAGGAGTTTTGACGGTTTCCTGGCGGCAGAGGATGGTCGCTCTCACCTTTTTTTTTCTGTCCAAGGAAATTGTCCCTTAGGTGGAATCGCTTGTGTGGCCACTGGAGAGTTTTTGTATCTTCCAAGCCCAAGCTGCTTCTTTGGTTCGGGGCCTCAAAAACAGCAGCGAGCCAAAATAGTTCTCCATAGCTATGGAAAATGGAAAATCTGAATATTAGATTTTGATGCCAGCTCATATCAAGTTTATGTTCGAGATCTTCCAAGGTTACTTACTTCTGTACACCAGGGTTTCTCAACCTTGGCAACTTTAAGATGTGGGGACTTCAAGTCCCAGAATTCCCCAGCCAGCATTTTTGGACTTCAACTCCTAGAATTCCCCAGCCAGGATTTGTGGACTTCGACTCCCAGGATTCCTCAGCCAGCTGGCTGGGGAATTCTGGGACTTGAAGTCCACACATCTTAAAGTTGCCAAGGTTGAGAAACACTGCTATACATGAATATTTTACACTGTTTGGAGGGGGAAAAAACTCCTTGGGGAAATATGCGGCGAACTCTAGGTTTGTCCAGTGAGCAAAACTCAATGCACCCATTTTTCAACTTGTCATGAGCAACTTCTCAGCAGTATCGATGTGCAAAACCCCCACTGGTTCCTTCGGCTTTCCTGCCGTGCTCTTCCAGCTGCATTTTGGTCTCCGCTGCCCACTCCTACCAGCTTTTTCTCCAAAGGGTCTGTGGCCCACCCCTTCCTTGAGCATCCCTTTCTCAAGGCCTTTGCCCACCGCTGCACGGAGGTACCCTCCAGCCATCCTCGACCAGCCTGGAATTAGCTGACGCCATCGCTGATCCCTCTCCTCCCCTCGTTCCCAGCTGAGGCCAGACCCCCGTCTTCCCTCCAAGGAAATGGGCGCAACGAAGCCCAGCCGGTTTTCCGTACCTTGAGGTTACCCTCAGACGGGGTTGGAATAAGGGAGAAAGATGCCCTTAACAGGTCCTGTACGCACCACGTAACCCCATGTCACTTTTAAGATGGAGATAAGGTAACCTCATAGGAACACAGTCGGACACGTTTGTGCTGTGGTTACGTGCAGGCAGGGCAAGATCTTTAGCTGGCAAGAAGTTCACTCCAGTTTCATCCTGTATCAGCTGCCTTTCTCCATAGCATGTCCAAACCGCCATCAACCGTGTGTCCCTCCACTTTCCCCCTTTATCCATATTGCACGGCTGCCCCACGACGTGACTTCAGTTCCATAGCAACCAGTTCAGCTAATTACTTTCAGGACTTGTGACATCCCCGGTTTGCTGGAATGATTCTTATCTTATGGATGGATCGATGTGTAACGTTCAACCTGCTTTGACAGCGTTTAAAAAAAAACGAAATCTGAACGCAGGAGGACAATTCATCTAAAAATATGACAAGCGAGAATGAGGCACAAAAGGGGAAACCAATTGATGCAGACTTAATGATAGGATTGTCTCAGCCCTTTGTCTGGGATCAGGAACTAAGCAGAGGTGGATGGGAGACCACCAGGCGATCCCTGTGGGAAATGGAAAAAAATCATGGAAGAAGACAAAGGGAAGCCACATTGCTATTGTTGCCAAAGTAAGTTTATGGATGAGTACGTGAGGTCACTAGGAGTTTTGCTCATCTGCAAAGAGACTTTACTTTTTAATGACTTTGTCGCAATAGTAGATTTAATATTTTAATTCTGCTTTAGGAAGTGATCAACATTTAACTGGTTTGGTAACCAGGCCTGGAATGGAACTGGACTGTTTGTCTGTTTGTTTGTTGAATTTATACCCCACTGGTTTACTTATTGCAACAGTCAAGGCAGTTTTCAAATATATATATATATATATATATA